TTTTCATATCTGGCCCGCCTAGTTGCCCGCTTTCGGCCGCCGTAATTCAGTCACTGGCCCCACCCGTGTGCCCCGCCGTGAACAATGCCAACGCCGCGCTGACGAATACTCAAACCACCGGAACTTCAATCGTTTGTAGTTATAGTGGGCAATCAGCTCCGTGTCAATACATCTCCGTGGGTCCGCCATATCCTGTGATGCACATTGTCTTGCTAAAACACAGACACAGAGTATTGCGCCTAGTCTCATTGCTGGCCCATCGACCTGTCCGTCGTCTGCCAGGATCCCGGCTAAGTAATGCGTCGCATTTACGTCTTCGATGGATAGGTGTTGGCGTTCTCAGGGATGGGTTTCACGGACACGCAATGCGAGCCTTGATATTCCCTACTTTACTTGTGCGCCTTGGTTCACAACTGTGATTAATTGTTAATATGAACCGATACTCGTCCTCTTCTGTGCATCAGTTCCTGCGAGCTTCTGGTGGTTTCGCCCCAATTTGATGATTGTATCCACCGTGCTCCGCTTCTTAATAAGATCCTGCGGTTGGTCAACGCCACGGTCAGAGGCATCTTATGCTGAAAACCCCGCCCGCTCGCTCACCACCTTGTACCATTGGCGTTTTTGAAACGCCTCGGCGGATACTAACTTCACGATTGTTCTTCCGCCGTCCGTGCGAGCAGGCCCTGTAATATTGGGGCTGGGCATCTCCGATCAAAATTTTGTGAGCTTTGTACATGTTTGTTCTCGATCACATAGCGGTTTTCGAACGCAGCTCTTCTTCAATCGCGCCCAACTGCTTCCACACCCCCAGGAAAATTAGGGTGAGGACCCAAATGTTGAAAACATTTGGAGACCAGCAAAATGGACAGAGGAAATCAAAAAGTATTCAGAATTCCTGGTATGGTTCGAAAACTTGGCGCAGATATCAGTACTCCCAGAGCAACAATGTATCCTTGGTAAATTCCTCTGTCCAAAATGTAGTTTGGAGTATTATGTCTCACATTCACCGATACGGATGGTTAATTGTATCGGTGGCCGAAACGGGAGAAACCGCCCCGAAACGGAGATCAGTCGGCGTTACTGCGTGACATGTGACCCGATCGCTCTTGACGACTCGTCAAGAGCGATCGTTCGGAACGCGTCGTCGCCAGCCCGTCGGCGCCCGTCTGGCTACTCCGCTGGCGGTTATGGGCAAGGGAAAGACTCAAAAACAACAAGCTGGTCTGTCCCAGGCTCATACCTCACGCTGGAAAAAAGAAAATATACTTCCAGCTCATTCTTCGCCGCTTCTCGGCCGCCTCGGAGCGACCCGCGCGCGTCAGTATTCGACGACGCTGGAGGATGGAATTTGCACACAGGATGATGAAACTCACGCATTGTACGCTTCTGATTCAGAACTACTGGCAGAGAGCACTAATTTTCACGATAACCTTTTGTGTCTCCACGGCTTGTGGGCTTGGGTGGTCTCTGAGACTCTGACCCGGCTTCCCAGACACATTCTTGGTCTCTCCGGCTACATTGCCTGCCTGGGCCCCGTCCTTTAGCCGCCAGAGGGGTGTCCAAGCTATGCCGGATGACACCAAGGGCTTTTCCGGTGAGTACCTTATCTCCTTGCGTAGTCGTTGCTGCAGGCTTTGACTCCCTTCTCCAGAGACTCTTTCTTGCTCTCCCTTGCATTTTGGTGGTCTAACTCTCATGATAACCCGTGGTGCCACTACGCAGATCAATGTGATGGGCGTGGTGTAGCGGCTTTTCATCAGCAGTGAGTCGCCATTGACAGGCATACTTTCCAGGGTCGAAGTGTGGCTGATCTTTGTCCGGGTGTCTTTTGCGTGCTGTCAGATGTCGACCGCCACTCCCTTATTCAGTGCTGTGAGTACAATATTCCACTCTTAGCGACTGCTAACTGATTCGCAGCATTGCTCAAGCTTTATCTGTAACCGGGCTTCATTCACCCTTCCTTTTGCGTGGTGCGCCATCAGGTTGGGATCCTCGCGCCGCCGATGATCTTCACTGCGTGCTGTCTCGGTGCGCACGCTGCACCTTCACCTCAAACACGGTCACCACCCACAGTGCAACCCGCGGTCCAGCTGCTAAGCCCAGCGCTCTCGGTCCGCACGCGGGGCGACGGTGAATCTGTACCAGTATGTACCGTCGTGTCCTTTTTCCCCCGCTTCCCCCTTCTTACTGCCGTTGCAGCTGCAAGCGCAAGGTGGTGGTGGTGGTGCCCTGTCATACAGGTGCGTACATCCATCGTTTTCAACTCTCCATCTCCTGCATCAATACCCTGTCTAAATCCGACTTTCTTCTCGATTGAATGAGCGCGACACATGCCGGGGCGCAGACGCACCTCCCGGATCTGCCGACACTCCCCTCGCGGAAGGAGGTACATATACGGTACGGACCTTGCTCGAGTTCGTTGATGGAGGGATCGTCATATGGATTTTCTGTGGGATACCCAAGGGATACCTGTACTTTGTCCGTAGCTCTCTGCTTGTGTAGTCTATCCATTTGAAAGCATTCCCTTGGGACAGCCGACTGAAGCTGCCGTCGTCGTGTACGACCGGTTCTGATGCACCGTAAATATAATCCTAGACTCAGCCTAGACTCCACAACCTCTTGTAAACCTTCCTATATACTGCATTAGTACAAGGATACTCCACTATGGGGTCCTTTCCTCAATTCCCGGCAGATTTGAGGGCTGGTTGGTAATGCCGGGGCTGCGCATCAAATAGTGATCAACTAATGATCTTGGATCTAGATTATCTCAAAGCCGGGTGCATGTGGGCCTCTGAAACTTTGCGAGCGTGTTCCCAATAGTGCTTAGAGTCGCCTTTAAATTTATAAGATTTTGTCGGCCTTGTTGAACCATCTTATGCACGGTTGAAGTGAAGCCCGAATTTCGGCGATCAAGGTGTGATTGAACTCGCCACGGAACAACATTGAGCAATCGGGAGAAAAAACCATTTGGCAGGGGTAGAGTATAGGTTATGCAGAGCAACTTTGGCCTTTGAAGTTTACATATGGTGGACTGGTTGAGAGGGAGCAAGTGAAAAGGTTAAAAAACCGCCCGTTTTCAATTTTAATCGAGAACAAACATGTACAAAGCTCACAGCTTTATGATCGGAGATGCCCAGCCCCAGTACTAATATATCAGAGAGGGCGAGAAAAAAATGCGCACATCGCACGTCCTCAGTATAAGTACCTTTGATGGGTTTCGAACCCATCTCTGATGGATATCCCTCCTCCGTGGAAGGCCTACAACAGGAAGCCATCAATCCATGAAGGCCTTATCGGTTACTTGTCGATGGCCCAGAGATTTTTTTTTCCCCACAGCATACTCGGATCCCGGGCGAAGGCCTAGTTCAAGATGAGTAGATGGTTCGGCTTTCCTTGTGCCTGATGTTGCCAATCTGGATACGCCGACACAGCGGCGACAGCAAACTGTATATGTACCCCGCCTGGGTTTCTCAATCCATAACGGACCTCTTCCCTTTTTTTCCTTGTCTCCGCCGCCGACTTCGTGCTACCAATGACATCGTTCCCGAAATTGGCTTGTCCACCGGCGCGCAGAACGATACTTAAAGTTTCGCCGGGAATCCAACGCACACAATTAACTCCCCTCGACCGGATCTCAACGAATCCACAACCTCTTTCTTCTGGCTCTCACGACTGCAGGCAAGATTCAGTCTCTGCTACTCTTGGTTCTCCCCACCATCATCCATTGTGTCTACACCGACACCCTTTGGCTGGCAGCCTCGGCAATATCAGAACGATGAATTGGCAAGCAATAGTACCATGAAGCCCGCAGGCAACAGCTTTTGCCGATCCCTCCTGCTAGTTATTGCAAAGCTTTTTCGCAAATCGCACTCACTCCCACCATCATGTCGATTTTGGCCGTTGGCAAACTGGCGTCGTTCTGGCTCAGCAAACACAAGCACCGTCCGGGGTGTGGATGTCGGATGCATCCTGTGTTCCCAATTGGATTTGTGCTGTCCGGGGCACCGTGCACGAAGCATATTTGGACACCGTGGCTGCTCCAGGACCTGGCTGTTTCCACTCATCACGAATCGGGACGTGGACGATGTGGCGGCTCGCACACCTGGACTCATTTTGCTGGCCACGTTTGGTCATTGTACCGTCCGGGGTACGCGCACGACGCGCAGGGGGATTCTGGGGGGGCCTCTTCCATGACGACGCCCGGATGCTGGCACTTTGGTGCGCACGGACCATCGGACTTTCGGCCAGAACTCCGCGATCCGCATTTGTGCTTATCTCCGACTCAAAATTGCCTCTCCCTCTGCAACGCTTCCGGTGGTTGGCGACACGTCGGTTAGATACAATTATCCACCCATTTTTCTCTCTTCTTCGTGGTGCTCTCAGACGAGCGGTTCACTCGCTTCCGGGATAGGCTTGGCGTTCACTTGGCATTCGCGGATCTCTTCGTTGTGCCGCGCGTCGTTCTTGGACAACTTCGGCCCCCGGCACTTCCGCTGTCCCAGCGACCCCGACCGTGTCTTTTCTTCGGCGGCTTCGGCTGCTTGTGTCGAGCGACACTCCCCAAAAGTCCTTGGGTCTGTCTTTTCGGAGACGGATGGTACGCATGCATCTGCAAAGGGAAAGACATGTGTCGATCTTTTCGTGAGTCTGGTGGACACTGGGGAGTTTTGCCAGGGAGGAGGGGACTCGTCTCGTACACCAGCTACCCAGCTGAGTGGCAAGGTCCCACGAGGTTGCACCCAGTGGTCCCGCCTATTCAAGGCCGGCCAGCTCACAAAAGGTAGCGTGTGGTCGACCCCCTGGAACGATGTTGTGCTCGGTCGGCATCTTGTAGGATTCTGTAAGGATAACCACCCGTACAGTACTACATGTTTGTCTTCCGTAAACTCGTTGTTCAGCCTGTGGACCACGCGAGTATAATATACCCCCCCCCCCCCCACAACGAATCCAGTGCAGCCAAAAAAAAAAAAAATCTAAAAAAACTCAAAGTGAAGAGGCCACGCCTTCGATGGGATTCGAACCCACATCTCTTCCCTACATCAGCACACAAAGCACTCTTCATGCGGAGGAAGCGATCTAGCTTGGTCTACGAAGGCTTACAGACTTATTCTGACCGCGCTGTAGGTTCGAGAAAATGAATGGAGGAAATTTATGGTGCGGTACGGTGAGCAGTGCACTCAATTGTCTTGGGTTCAGCTTTTCAGCGCACATCCAATCGGGGTGCGTGTCATGTCCTCCGTAACAGAGCAAGTTGAAAGCAACGAGCATTGAGCGGGAATGGTGCCACATCCCAGTCAAATGGAAAGGGGTTCTTCCATCTGGACTCACGGATGGAATCAGTTGTGGCTGAGCACTGAGCGCTTGACGACGCACTTCTCATCGGATAAGACAGCGAATGGGGAATAAAATGGCTGGCGTGAGTCAAATCCTGCTCGATCCAAGTCAATGAGGCGCGGGTTCAGTTTTATCCACCAAGCCTTGATAGGTTGGGTGGAATCCTGGTAGAGCAAAAGTGCAGACTCATGGGTGCGGGAGCGCTACGCTTACGCCATGGCAGCGGAGAGCCTGTATCTCAGAAGAGCGTGGTGTGCGCAGAATGTGCGTGGAACTTTTCCAGCATAAATGGATACTTGGAGCTGACAGGAGTGGAACGCCCAGTGTACAAGAGATGAAAGTGTTGAAACCACAATTAGGTCTCCAGTGGGATATGATCCCGCGCCGTCCCATGAATGGCATCTCACCGCAAGATGCCGACGGATCGGTCTGCGGCGAAGGCGTTATAACTCGCGGTGGCGCTCTGCATAGACTCTCGTATCTTGAACGTTGCCTCATGGATGAGCCTGTAAAGGAATTGGAAGGGATAATGATAATGAGTCGTTTTCACCCGTCAAATCACTCACCTCTTCCGGCGAATTTTTCTAGCTTACTGTGCTTGGAGAAACCCTTGGGGTTGTGACATGTGGCAGCATTCCATCCTAGAACCATCCGGATAATCGACGCCCTCATTTCGCCCTTCAACGACGTGTACGTAAATTAGAAGCTAATTCGCCTGGTTAATTTGCAGCCCGCCTAGGCCGGCGAGCGTCAGAGTCTCAAGTCCTCTGCGTGTTGAATTTTTAGAGACGTTGCCGGCCGTTACGCGTCTCTGCCTTGCCACGACAGGGATCCAAACATCCGCGTGGGTCGTTTGAGCACCTCCATCAATGAGGCTGATAGTCTATTGACTGGTCCACTCTGGCGAATCACTCATACCGGGGGACGAGTTTTACTTCTATTAATATTGCCAGGTACTCGGATTTGTACCCTGCACAACACAATTCAATCCCCAGAACTCAACTTTCTCTCGTTCCATCCAAGATCAACAATAACGACCGAAATGTCGTCGCGATCGGCATCGAATTCTTTGGCCATTTTTTCTGCATCCAGCCCGAACAAAGTGTTCTTGATGAGAATCTCCGCCGCGTTGTCGCTAACTGAAAGCTTGATACACGCATGGCCCAATTGCTCGTTTTCCTCGCCATTCACCAGCGCCATGATTACATCCCAATGGTCTCCGGCTGGAATCCGATGCATCGAGTCGCGTAAGCCGTCGGATGCGAAGACCAGAATATCGTTGGGTTGAAGGTCGTATCTATGTACAGTCGGGGTGGCCGAGAGGTAGGGTGGAGTGTTGTGGTTGTTATTTTTGTCCATCCGCTCGTATCCGTCGTCTGGAATCGGGGAGGGATAGAAGTACTGCATGATACGGTGAGACAGCGACCGCGACTGCACTTTCATCTGATGATCGCCGAGTGCTTGAGTGCGCGCCAACTACGGGTCAAAACTACCCAAGGAAGTTTGGACGTACCGCGAGTGACAGCGAGCAAGCCCAGGACATGGCTACCATTATAAATCAGATTTTCCTCTCCGGGGTGCTCAGCCACAAGCCGTTCGACCTCCTCCGGGTTGGTGCAGTTGTGGCGGTCACCCAGCATAATTGGTCTCAGCTTCCCGCCCTGCATCCGCCCGCATACTGCTCTCGTCAGTTCAAAAAATAAAATCCCTATGGCAGCCAAATACGCACCTGCGTCGGAGTCACCCAGTGAAACAACCCAGATGTGCTTCTTGTCCTTGTCGATGATCCCCATGAGAACAGCATTTTCGAGCTGAAGAAGGTGTCGCCCTTCATGGTAGGGTAAACGGGGGATTGCCCAACAGCTGATAGGGACTGTGGGCGTCAAGTGGGCGTCGATTTGCGTCGATAAAAAAAATTAAAGGACTTTGTCGATCGAATCAACGGATTCTCGTCGCCAGGGGCAGTGAGACGACACAGGAACGCACAGGAAAGCAACACGATACGAGGGGACTAAGCACTGGAGACTGTTTGCAAGACAATGGTGGGCGTCGGGCGAAAGCAGAACGTGGCTTTCGGACCGATCCGCGACCACAACAAGAACAAATTTAAAGGCAACCTAGCCAAACAGCCGCAACTTTTCTCCTACTTTTCGCCATCATCATTCCCCAGCTGCGACGCGTTTTCGCCTCCCAAACCAGTCCACCACGCACATACACTGGTCAGTGTACACGGCGTGAAGCAAATTTGCTGCGTTTGGACCGTCCAAGGGCCCCCCGACTTGGGGTCTCAGAAACCCACGATGACCGGCGCGAGTGCTCAACTGTAATCACGATTCGAATTCTCACTCTCTCCCGAGGGCTCAGGCATGGAATATTGCCCTTGAGCTGTGCAGAGGCGAATGGGATGGATTCGATATCGCTTTGTTGGTCCGACTCGCATCAGCATCTTTACAAGTCGACCTTTTTGGGGCTTTTCGACCTTTTGTAAGGACAAAAAGGCTAAAAGGCCGAAAAGGTCTTGCTCCTTTTTTTCGCCCAATCCAGTTGCTTTTATAAGGCGAAAAAGGCGAAAAAGGCAACTAAAAGCTCTGGTATAAGCCGTCGGAAAAGCAGTGTGGGCATTGACCGGGTTTGGCCGGGCTTGGCCGAACGTCCATGGCCGTTTGACCCCGGTTGGCCATTTCGTCAACCGAATTTCCTTTTTTGGAAAACCAACCGTAAAACGGCCAGGACCGAGCCAAAAGAGTGCATCGGTGTCCAGATAGTGAGAGTAGAGCTACTTGTTCATTACATCTATGAATTCATTGCATCCTTTGGCCTACAGCGCAGTGAGAGCCAGGCTGTTTGAATAGCGCGGCAGATCATGTTCGAAAACAGTTTAAACATATAACTGGGGTCAGGACTGGACTGTAGATGCATATGCAGCGGATGACCTTCCGTCCGTCCATCCTTCTCGCTAACTAGCCCATCTAGGCCAGCTGCAAGGTCTCCATCATACCAAGTGGCATGCTGTGTGTCGGGCCTTGTGGACCGAGATAAGTTGCATCCGCAACTGGCCATGTGGCATTGCTTGCGATATACCCAGAATTCATCTCTGTGAGATCCGGGTTGAATCCATTCTGACCTGTCTGTGGGGAGTCTTGGATCCCATGCTGCTGTTTGCCACTGTTTCCGGTCTAAATTGGCCATATCCGTCATCCCAACGCCACAAGCACATTACGGAGAGAGCACTTTGTGGTTGGGTCGGGTCTCAGCCCACCGGACTTTGTGGGAGTACTGGACACTGTAAACTCGCAACTTCAACACTCTCGTTGGAGTTGCGTGTGAGTGGCTTCTGAAACTCTGATACTGTAATGAACATGTACCGAATCAACTGACGTTCAGCAAAATTCCCGTCAGTTGACAGATTTGAAAGCATGCCATGTATTTGAGGAACAGTTTTCTTCTAGACGTAGCATGGCAAAGTCATCCACGGCACGGAAAAATTGAAGTTGACCTGACAGCGAAATTACCGATCAGAAGGAGGAGGCGGAGGCGCACAGAACGGTGTCCCATGGCTGCTATACGGACTGGTAGACCAGAGACACTTGCTATCAGCTCTCTGAAAGCCCCGGTAACAAGTAATCACTGTTTCTGTATTCATTGTAACATACTATGAGCCAGTGCCTGTAGGACATGGTCCACCATCAATGTAGAAGACACATGTGATGGTTTAGAGTGTCCAGGGTGACTCCTGGATGCAGGAAAAGCAATTTACGGACATGGTCAAAAAAACGGCCAAAAACGGTCAAGGCCGGTCAAACTCGGCCAAAACGGCCAAAACGGCCAAACCTTTTGGGCCGTTGACTTGGCCCAGCCCACACTGCGGAAAAGGACTCTAAAGGACTTCGAAAAGCTCAGAAAGGCTCGGAAAGACCCGGAAAAGATACCAAAAAAGTATATTGACGCTACTAAAAACATGGCTACATATGATACGGGCTACGCGGAGACTCGCGAGGAGTGAGCGGGGAAGGCGAGCAGATCGCGAGCGGAGCCGGGGAAGGGGAAAGGCAGGGAGAAAGGGAGAGGAGACGCAGCTGATGGCGCCCCTCGGGTGCGGAGAGGAGGTTGGGCGCACTTTTGGCGCACGAGGGAGCGGGATAACGGACATGGAAGCCGTTGGGGAGATCATCGGATTCTGAGCCAAACGATCAGAATGAGAGGAATGTGCAGGTGGTGTAATACGCACGTTTCGCCTGGGTTCGTGAGGAGACGTTCAAGAACACAACACTGGATGGGAAAAAGGACCATAGATGGGCTGGTTATTATCTGCATCGCTCGAGGCCATGACACGCACCCATAGCGCGCTGTCCAGGAAAACCCCCACTGCATCGTCATCGGCAACGGAGAGACAGGAAGAGCTAAAACTGGGATAGGTTTGGAAATAATTGGCTGAGAGGGATGATATGGAACTCTTGAGGGTACGGCGAGACGAGTCTATGGCTTGAGGTCTTGGCGCTGAGGCGGTCTTGAGTGAAGGCCTTGACGTCGGCTTGAGGATCCAGACTCGGAAGCTTGAAGGTCTTGAGAATTCAAGGGTTTGATATTTGAGTCTTTCAGTAGCATTGGCGGGCACAGGCGACGCTGGGGGATGCGGGGAACGGAGGCGATGGAGGTGGGAGGAAGAAAGGAAGGTGACGTGGCGATCAACCAACAATCTATCAATCACGGGATTTGATGTGATGGGCGTAAAGCGAAATTCGCTGCCAGCACTGCCGAATTG